AAACAGCCCCAAAGCTCAGCTGTTTTACACAGGGAAGTCTGTTTCTTATTAACTTCACATTCCAGTGCTGGTGAGTTGGAAGGGAGGAGGTGGGGTGAGGGGTTTCTGCCCTTCCGGCTTTTAGGAAGGGACCTCCTTCCATCTAAAGGACTCCACCTTCTTGTCGGGCTCCAGGGCTCCCCTCCGACAGGTGAGGGGATTTCAGGTTTCAAGGAGGGAAATTATACCAGGTCTGACAGTGTCACCAACATCACTGACCCACTAATGGCAAGGAAAGCTGGGAAGTATGACCTCACTGCATGACCCAGAGAGGAGAGGAGGGCCCTCCCTGGTGGTGCAAGGGGTTAAGACACAACCTACAAAGCTGTCCGCAGCCACCACAACACGAGTTCGATCCCAGGCCAGGGAGCTACCCACATGGCACAACAGACCTCTCCTGTCTCCCTGCTGCTCCCCTCAGCAGTGCCTTCAGTCTGTCTGCCTGTTCTGCTCCCCACTCTGTCTCTGGTGAATCATCTCACCCCCCCACCTCTGGCCTGTACCCCAACTCTTGTATGCATAAATATATAAATCTTTTAAAAAAAGAAAAAGAAAAGGAGAGGAAGGGCAAATTAGCCCCCAAGAGATGCTGCTTTAGATTTAAGGAAAATGTGTTAGTGACTCATTGTCCTGGAGCAGAGTCAGCAAGCTATAGCTCCAGGGTCAGACCTGGCCCTCCACTGACCCCTGCCTCACCCCCAATTTCACGAATCCTTGCATGGGACTAGAAACCAGTTCCTCTGAGTATGAGTTATGGCCAGGCACAAGGATGGGCACATGGTATGCATGTGCCAGGCTGGTCACTAAGGCAGGTGTAGTGACCCCCAGTCCAGAGCAGAAGAAACTGAGGCTCAGGGAGATGCTGTGATTCACCCTGGAAGATGAAATGTGGAATAGCAGGGTTTGAGGTCCAGATCTCTGTGACCCCAAAGGACATGCATGTTCTTTCCTCTGCTTTATGCCAAGAATCTTTAACCCATGCATCAGGGAGTATAGACATTCCTGCCATACTGTTGCATAACCCACGGTCAGCGCCCTTGCCTTTGCCCGGAGCTCCCCTCTGAGGTTGCCGAGACCCCAAGGGAGTGGTGCAGCTGTGGGCATGCCAACCCGGTCAACCAGAGGACATTACCGCCAGCTCCCATTCCCAGAGAGCCCCGAGCTTTCTGTAAATAAATAGCAGCGTTTCATCAGATAAAATCTGGGACTCCTGCCTTGAGGTGAAGGGATGGTGCTCCCATCCCAAGGACTGCAGGGCATTTGGGGGCACCAGTGTCCACGTAAACCATACTGCTGGTGCACGCACAATACTCTCTTACGGCCCTCACAGAGAAACGCCAGCATTGTCTGTTATGTGTGGTCCGAGTCTGACACCAGATGAGGCGGAGATTCAGGTGCTGGGAGTCTGCCCTGAGGAAGTTAAGTGTAGGTGGAAATCACCTCCCCAGGAGAAACAAGTCGGGGGCTCGAGGGAAGCTGCCTACACTCGGCACTGGTTTCCGACTTAACTCCTGGGAGCTGTTTCGCTTTCTAAGATGTCAAAAAGGTGGATGAGGTTTGAGGGACTGTCTGACACCTTCCCATGTTCCCATCGAGAGGGGGAACACCACCAAAGGAGGTGCCACCTCCCCATCTGTTGGCCTGTCTGATCGCAGCTCCTGACACCACGGAATGAAACAAGTCAGTTGCCAGAGGACCACAAGAGTGAGGAAACCAACACAAAGGGTCTGCAAATCTCCTGCAGGGGCCACAGCGTGCATGACCCGCTGTCGTGCTGTCTGGGGTTGTTTCAAGACGACTGCAATGCATGGTGGGAAGGGGAGCAGCTTACAACTAAGACCCTGGGGTTTGACCCCAACATGACTATGGTAAAATCTGGGATCTGGCAGGTCCTTCCACATCTCCTGCCCCACCGCCCTCTTACATCAAGCCAGGAGTGTGAGACCCCCACCCCACCATGGAGCAAGAACGAACCCAAAGGGTCCCATGGGGCATTCTGGACTCTGGCCTGTCCTTCTACCGAATTAGCTCCCCCCCCCATGCCTTTCCACGATTCACAGGTTAGACTCCAATCTCAAATCCACCTGGCACACAGTGTGAGCCAGCGAGAACCACAGTCCCCTTCTTCCCACAGAGAGAATATGAAGGAAGGAATCCAACTGGACCATGACCAAAGCCAGAGATGCAAACCGCTGTCTGTGCAGACCCCTGGGAGAGGGGCTGTTCCCGGGTGAGCACTCCTGAGAAGATGGTAGGTCTCCTCAAGAGTCAAAACAGGGCCTCCCCTGGTGGCAAAGTGGTTGAACGCTGGGCTGCGAAGCTGCCCACAGCTTCTGCAGCGCCGGTTTGATCCCCGGCCGCCGGCGAGGGTCCCACATGGCGCGCAGACCTCTCCTGCTGCACCCACTGCTCCCCTCAGCAGTGTACTTCGTCAGTCTGTCTGTTCTGCTCCCTGCTCTGACTCTGCTGAATTCTCTCACCCTCCCGCGCTTCTGACTGTACCCAGTGCTTGTATAAATAAATAAATAAATCTTCAAAAAAAAAAAATAAATGAAAGAGTCAAAACATTACAAACAACCCAGAAGAAGCGAACAATTTGGAATTAAAAAAAGGATCTTCCCAGTATTCTTTAAAACTTGCCAGTGACAACACCTGAGGGAAAAAAGCAATTACTGTACACAAATGAGCAACAATGTAAGAAAATAATTCAAAATAAAACCTTGTCTGTGACCTGCCAGAACGCATTTGCACAGCACTTTACTTTTGCTTGAAGATTTTCATTGTTGTTCTTAGCACAGGGAATGACCAGAGTGGTAGCACTCATAGTACTTGTAGAACTAAAAACTTAAGCTAGTCCCTAATTTTACAGATGCGAAAGCTAAGCCCAGAGAGGTCAAGCAATCCACCCAGGCCACACAGCTGACTGGAGACAGGACCGGCCTGGCTCTCCCAACCTTTCCCTCCAATTCCACACTTTCAGGAGCCACTGACCTTCAGGAGATCACCTGGCCCTGCTTGAAACAACCCCAAGTTCTTGGCATAAGCACTCTGGAACCCCAGCTTTAAAGTCTCTAGACCCTAATTTATGGATTTTTATGTCCATGGCTATTGTCCACTCAAGTCTGTGTGCATTTTGCTTTCCAGGCTCACTTTTCTCTTCTTTGGAGGTGTAAATGTCTACAAAAATCAGGACTCTGCAAGCAGGCTCCCCCCACCACCCCCGCCCCAGCCTCAGAAGCTTCCCTGTGCTTATTAGTATCCACCAGCTTTTATAAATATTTTGCCAAATCATGTAAGTGTCCAATATCTGTCTCTGTTAGTCTGACTTAATTCACTCACACAATTCCCTCCAACTCCTTCCATTTTGCTGCAGTGGCAATATTCCGTCTTTCCTGTGGCTGAATATATTCCACGGTGTGGACAGACCACATCATCTGAACCATGTCCTCTAGCAGTGGACACTTAGGTGGCCTCCACTTCCCAGCTATTGTAATTAAAGCTGCAATAAACTTTGTCGAACATGGTTTTTTTGAGCTGGTGTTCTTGTTCTTGGGTACCGGCCCTCGTGTGGGGTAGCTGGCTCATTTGGCATTTCCATATTCCGTTTTTTAAGTTACATCCAGAATGCTTTCCAGGATGGCCGCAACGGTTTACATTCACACGCTCCGACCACTTCAACCCTGAACTCCCTAACACGACCGCCAGAGCTTCCAAAGCAGCCACCAGGGTTTCCCACAGATTAAGTAGAAAGTAAAGTCCCCAAACACACACCCACCGCCTAGCTAGGCCGCCTCGGGGCTTGACCTCCAGGGAACACGGCACAGAGACAGCCACAGGTGGCATTCTAGAACACGGACCTGTCTACACACCCAGCCCCGCATGAGGTCAGCAGACCAAAGAGCACCAGGCAGAAGACCCCGGACTGACTCTGGGTCCAGTGTTCTCCCCGTGATTCAAGTAGATGCTTGAAAAATGCTTATGACAATAAACAAATTAAAGGCAGAATCCAATTTGCCCAAGAACATGCACTCAATGTTAGAAATTAAACTGATCATGGTGGAGGGTGACGTTGAATGAAACTGCCCGTCCCCGGCACCCAGCTCAAGGCAGTCCCTGCGCTGGGGACTCCTGACCACGCAAACTGCCCCCCAGGGTGTGGGGACACCTGACGCCACAGGCACTGCCTGCCTCCAAACGTGGGGGGGGGGGCACCTACGCTGCGCCCACCTGCAGCCACCTGCTGACATGGGAAGTCCCCCTTGTAAGGCCTGTAGCTGCCTGGCGGGGTCCTATAATGGGGGGTGGGTTGAAAGCGCTAATTCAGAACCCCGGCTTTCCCAATTCCTCTCTAACATCGCTCTTTGCCCCAAAGCAGTTTTACCAAAATCATTCCCCTGGGGAACCTCGACCTTTGTCCCCTTGCATTTCAGATAATCATCTGGGCAGCTGGAGGAAGTTGCGCTGCCTTCAGACTTCGCTTGCTCCTTCCCTTCGGCCCCTGGAGACCAGGCGCCAACCCAGACCTGCCCGCGCGCCCCGCGGCCGGCCCCTCGGCCCCCAGCCCTGCGCCCCGCGCGCGCGACGCGCCTCCCTCCACAGCCTCCGCGCCTGCCAAGGTGCGCGGGACCTGAACTTGGTTTCTGGAAAGTTTCCTTCCCTCCCGAAGCCCAGCATCTCTCTGCGACGCACTGGCTCCGGGATCAACCTGCGGCGCTGCCCGGGCGGCGCTTCCCAGGCACCTGGCGGGGCCCCCAGGGGAGCCCCCAGGTCCGGCCTCCCGGGGCGGGTTTTCGGGGTTCGCCCAGAAGAGCCCAGCGCCGTCCAGTCCCCGGCCGGCCCGACCCGCCCCGCCGAGCGCCCGAGCGCCGGAGCGCCGCCTGGGGCGTGCCGCGTCCCCACGCGCCCGGCGACTCGGGGCGCCCCGGCCCCCGGGGCGGGGGGCGGGGGGCGCGCGCCCTTACCTCGCTGACGATGGTGGCCTGGGCCTGGGCGTAGCGCCAGCCGCCCCGGCAGGGCACGAGCGGCGCCGAGCGGTTGGGGAAGGCGGCGAGCGGGTCGGCGCAGCTGAGCGCGCCCGCGGCGGGGGCGCTGGCGTTGGCCGCCTCCAGCAGGTAGCGCTGGCAGCGGCCGTCGCCGCGGGGCGCGGGGCCCGGGCGGGCGGGCGCCGTGCGGTTCCACTCCTCGTCGGGGCTCCAGCCGCAGCGCTCGGCCAGGGCGGCGGCGCTCGGCCCGCGGCACCAGTAGCGGTCGGGCCGGCTGCCCAGGAAGACCACGCTGACGAAGAGGAAGGCGAAGGTGACGCCCGTCAGGCACAGCAGCAGGAACACGCGCCGCTGGAAGCGCCCGAACTCGCCGGCCCGCTGCAGCGCCTCGTCGAAGGAGGGCATGGTGCGCCCCCGCGCCGGCCGCCCGGCCCCCGGCTCCGCGAGCGCGTCCTGCCGCCCGCAGCCCGGGCCTCCGAGTGACCCGCGGGCCCGCGCCGCCTCCTTTACCCGCGCCTCCCCCGGCGCCCGCCTCACACCCCCGGGCGCCGCGCCAGCGGCCGCCCGTCCTCCTGCCCCTCCGCGGCCCGGCGCCCCGCGGCCCCCGCCGCGCGCCCGCGGGCGCCCACCGCTGCCCGGGCCGCGCTCCCCGGGGCCGCCGCCGCGCGGACGAGGGGGGCGCCAGGTGGGCCCGGCGGCGCGGTCTGGCCGCGCGCCACGGCGCACCGGGGACCGGCCCGGACTGCGAGTGACGGGCGCAGCCTCGGCGTCCTGGCGCGCAGCTCCCCTCGGCCCCCCGCCAGCCGCCGGCGCTGCAGTTGGCCCCGGGTCGGGCTCCAAAGGCGGACAGTTCAGGTTCCCCCAGCTCCTCCCAGGGCTCCGCGAACCTGGTCTCTTCGCGCTCCCAGCACAGCCTGCAAAGGCCAACCGCGCGCGCACCCCGGGCCCCGGCGTCTGCGCCCCGGCGTCTGCGCCCCAGCCACCCCTCGCCAGGCCGCCTCTCCCCGCGCAGCTCGAGGCAGGCAGCGAGGTCCTCCCGCAGGGCTTGGCCTCGCCCTCGACCCGAGCAGCGCTGGAGACTTTCGGGTTCGATTTGGACGGCCTTTCAGGGATTGTCCAACTTTTTCCGAAAGGGCAGCAGGGCAACCAGAGGTAAAGCCACTTGCCCAGAGTCCTGGACGTTTCAAGGTGAGACGCGACCGCAGGCTGGACGCGGATCGCCTTAGCCAGAGCTTGCCCGCTTGCCCTCGGCCTGAAATCCCCACCCAAGGAGTGTGGTGGCTTGGCCACCAAGGTGGTGTTTACCGCCTTTATCCAAACTCCCCAAGTCCGCAGAGATGGCTGGGGCTCCTCCTCTGTCTCACCCCAGGCTGCTCCTCAGCCCAGGTCACCCGGCCCCTCTGGGCTGACCACAGACACTGCTGAGGGCCTAGCCCCCCACCTCTCCACAGCCAAGCCAGCTTCACCCCCTCCCCAGCTTGTGACCCCGGGCGACGTCATTGGCCAACCCTGACTTCTCATGGGGCTAATGCTCCCTGGAGTCCCTGCCAGGACTGAATGAATTAAGATAGATAAAGTACCAGAAAGACACATAGTATGTGCTCTTTTTTGTCTGACGCGTAGTAGGCATTTGGCACATGTTAGCTATCTTGCGGTTTTCTCATCGGCTGTTGAGGTAACTCCGTGGTCTCCGAGGGATGGCCTAAGGACGAAGGCTAAGTCATCCCATCAGAGCTCACCGAGTGAGTTTTATTGTCCTCTCCTGTTATTTCAACCTCTCAGACGCATCTGTTACCGAGTTAGCGGGGCCTTCTGGGTCCACAGGTCTCATGCCTCGGAGTCTAGTCCATATTTTTAAGTGTCTCTGCTTCCAGGGCAGTCTGTCCTCTCCGCCAGCTCCTCCTCCTGCTCTCCCGTGGACGTAACCATGGCCACTGGGCCATCTCAATGCCATTTCCGCTCCCCCCACTTCTCAGGTCTTGGCTCAGACGCTACCTCTGCGCACCCCTGGCTTTCCAGCCTCCCCACCTCCCCACCAGACACACCTCCCTGCTTCACTTGTCTCCAGCGTGCTGGCGGCCAGCCACCTCTGCGTTTCTTTATTCAGCAGTGCACTTTACTTATTTAATCTTTCTCCCCCCACTGAAATGCAAGTTCTGTGAGGGCAGAAGGTTCTGTTTTGTTACTTCTGTGTTGCCATCCTCTAGAACAGTGGCACATAGTAGGTATAATAAAGATTCATGGAATAAACAGATGCTTCTGCCACACACACCCCCCCCCTCGCCCACACACACAGGTATCCCCTCTCTCTGCATCTACCATCTCTGCTGAACCAACAGCACCCCTGGGGTTTCTTACCCGCCATGCTATCCGGTGTCCAGCCTGCACCCCTCAGATCAGCACTCAGAACAGCTCGGAGGGGCCGCCTGCAGTGGCTTGCCCTGCCTCCACATTAAATCATCTCCCTTCCAAAGTCCTAAACTATGTCTCTCACCCAACTGTACCCTTAAGTGACAGCCAAACAGAACTACTTGCTAATCCTCAAATCCTGCTAGAGCCTTTCTAAATCTACGGGTGCGCACAGCAAGTTCCCTCTCCCTGGAGTTTTGCTTTCCTCTGGGGTCCCAGCCCAGGGCCCAGCAAGGTCAGGTTGAATGTCTGCTCATACCTTCAGGGGCTTCCGCAGCCTCCTGAGCCCTTCCTACCCCAGCAACCTCAACCTTGTGCTCTTAACATATCTCAGAACCTTCTTTTGGAATTTCACTACATTTTTCCTAGTATTGTACATGTCTGGGTATTTTTATTTTAACTACTTTTATTTTTAGTGCTGTAACTGGGCAAGCAGACATAAGACCTAGAGTAGTTGCTAGGATCTTGGGATCTTGGACTTTGGATCCGGTCCTACTGGGTTCAAATCCTCTTCTGTTCCTTTTAGTTGTTATGTGTCTTCCATAAAATTGCGTCTGAAAGGGACCTTCTTCTTCCTTAATGCAAATCACTTAGAAAAAGTACTTGAAACATAAACGCTATAGGAGTCAGCTATTACTGAAGGGATATAAAAATACCACCCACCCTCAGAACAGGCCAATGTCATGTTCACTGTTAGTGACATGGTTATAAAGAGCCAACACTCAGACATAGTCGGGTATCCTTCCTGCCACCCCAGCTGCTGTCTGCTGTGCTCCCTCCCCAAGGCATCAGCAGGTCCATTCTTGGGAAGATGGGCCTGGGAAGAGGGTTCAGGATCCCTGAGCAGGGAGTCCTGGGGTTCCAGCTCCCAGATGGTGGGGAGGTAAGAGGGGAATCGGCTTCAGGTGGGTGCAAGACCTTGGCCCTGGGGGTGGGCGGCCAGAGTACGGTCCCCAAAGGCACAGGACAACTATTGTCCAGATGTAATTATTACAAAGTTGTTACACTTCAGCTTGTCCAAGTTTTCATCCTTTTAAAATACAGACAGAGTGAAGTGCTTCGGAATGTCGTAGGGCACCTATGACACATGTGCTTCAGTCAACTCCCTTTTCCACACAAGGTTGTATTTTTGAGACCCACAGCCTTGATAACCTGGTCTAGTTCATTCAGTCTAACTACAGTGTTTCCTCACACAGTCCACCCTGCCTGTGTCCATCCACTCAGTGACCACTTTGTCAACTGTCTACCATCACAAATCATCCTGCAGCATCACTGTTGTACAGGTACCCTTGTACGAGAACTGATCCAAGGTAAGGCCCTGTGCCTGGACAGCTGGCCTACAAAGCGCTGGCCAGATTCTGTCAAACTGCTTTCCAGGGGAATCTCCGATTTACATTCCTCCAGCAACGTGTGAGACTTTGCATGCCTGCACTGATGGTGAGCTTATTAGGCCACAGGCAGAGATCTGGTATAAGATGCAGACATGCCCTCTCCCGACACCTCCTTCTTTACCGCTTACTTCCAGTTGTCCTTTGGGAATGCTACTCGTGCCGTTATGTGTTCTGTTGCTTTGTCAGCTGTCTTCTCACCTCAGCCTGCAGCTTGCCTTTTAACTTCATTTTTAGAGTGTTGGTAACAATAAAAAGTTAAAATTCTACTGTAGTTAGATGTATCCATTTTCTTCATGGCGCCTGCCTTTTATATGCTGCTAAAAACAGTCCTGCATGAATGTGCTTCTGGGTTCCTCATTCTGTTCTCCAGAATCTCATTTTAATTATGACAGCTCTATAACGGGTCTTAGTGTCTGATAGGACAAGCCCCACACCTGCTCTGTCCCATCTTGTTCCTCTTCAGGATTATTTTGGCTATTTGGAGGCTTTTTTCCTTCCATATAAATTTTCTACTTTAGTAAGTTCTGTGGAAATTAGATGGGGATTTTAGGGATGAGAGGAGAGGGGAGGGAGCACAGGGTCGATGGTGGGGGGCCATGGGTACTTTGGTGGAGGGGGAACTATGGCAACCACACCTGAAGTGGAGGGGAATCCTGTACTTGTATCATGCAAACAATGACATACACCAATATTAGCACAATAAAAAAAGTTTAAAATAACTAACATTTAAAAAACAATCATCAAAAAAATTGCATCTGCATTTCTCCCACTACTTGGTAGGCACTTTGAGAGAAACCCTAAATCACAGTCACCTTTTCCATCTTGAAATAGTGACATCTGTCCTGCCTCTGCACTGAGCTATGTGGCCACCCTAGTCACATGTGGCTACTCAAACTGAAGCCAAGGAAAATGAAAGGTTCCAGTCCTCACAAGGCGCATTTCTGGAGCTGAGGAGCCACGTGTGGCCAGTGGCTACCAGGCTGGACGATGCAGGTATGGGGCGTTTCCTTATGAGGCAGCCCTGCTGAGCAGTGCCAAGCCAGACATTGGGCATCAATGGGTGTTTGTTGAGTAGGAACAATTACAGCCAAATAGTTCACATGCAATTTTGGCAAAACACACTGACTTTAACTCCTTTTGAAAGGTTATTGTTCAGATTTAGTCATCTAAAATTTTATGGTTGGCATCTTTTATTGCATTTAGGAATGAACAGACCAGGTATTATGATGCATTCACCACATATTAAGTTACCAAAATAGTCAACATGAGATTTGTGCTGTTTGTAAAGCACACAAAAAGCCAACCATGTAATCACTCTCATGTGGAATCAACACTAGCTTGATATGAATCTTCTTCAAAACTGACATGCAGGAACAAGTCACGTAGCTCGTGGGTGAGCTCCACCCTCTCAACATCAGATCTCAAAAACACCTGGCTGGGACTTTCCCTCCAGTCATCAAGGTGGTAAAGCAAAAAAGAAAAGGTGTATTCTTGGTAAAAATGGGCAATCAGAGAAAACAGCTTGTGTGTGCTGCAGTAACATCTACTCCTAGGGGGATTTGTGAAGGTTTTGGTGATGAGGTCACTGTGCTACTAATCCCTGAATTATTACCCAAGGTTATTG